CGAGGGAGAGGGGGAAGGGAGGGAGAGGGGAAGGGAGGGAGGGAGACGTGTGTATGTGTGTGTGTGTGTGTGTGTTTGAAGGATAGAGTGATCGTCTGTACAGTGCCCCAACACCTTGCCACGCAGACATACATACATATGTACACACACTTTACCCCCACGGGCCCCAGGGGCAGCTCTGCTGCTCGAACTTCTGGAAGGTCTGTTGGCGCCCCCCGCGACAGCTGCCTTCTACGGACATTACCGCACTCCGGCACAACCCCCCGATCCCACACACACACGGCTCACTCGCCGCGGGGGCCATTTCCCGCCCCCAACCTCCATGACGAGGAGGCGCTTGTATTCTCGCAAGCACGTTGGTGTTGCTGCTGGTGTGTGTGCATATGCATGTATGTGTGTATGCACGTACTTGCTCTCCTAGGACCTCTCCAACCCCAACCCCCGTCGGAACCCTTAAAAAAAACCCTAAACCCCATAAAACCTCAACACCCTAAAGAAGCCGCCCTAGAACTCACAGGGTCCGGAGAAGGCGTACAGGTAGCAGGGCCGTCTCTGTCTGTGCGCCCCCCTCATGCACTCTAGCGCCAGGGCCTTAGCCACCGTCTCCCGCGCTCCCCGCATACTGCCCGAGGTGTCTAAGCACAAGATGATGGGCCCCAGTTCCGCTGCGGGCCGGATCTCCATGCGGCTGGTCACCCGGGCCGGCTCGTTGTCCAACCACCCTGGAAGGGAGATGAGGTGAATGCGTGGTGTTGGGGAGAAAGGTAGGGTTTTTAGGAAGGTATTTGGGAGAGTGGCGAAATCATATATCGAATGCACGAGTCAAAGTACTAACGGCCACCAACCGCCAAAGAACCAGCTGCCGTACGAGTCCCAGGCAATGGCGCAAGGTGCCTAGGGGGTGCGGTCAAAGAAAGGGGTGATCGCACGATCGTGGTGATGGGGAAAAAGGAACGAGGGGAATTCGCCTCGTACGAACATGTACGCATCAGCCAAACACGTGCCGGTGTCGTACCAGTTCGGTCGTAGCTGAGCAGCATTCTCTCGGCCCGGCGAACGCGGTGTAGTGCTCTGGCGGCATGAGACCCGGGCAGGTAGTACTCCTTTGCGGGGATTGAGTGATGGGAGAGATGGGGGAGGTAGGGGGAGAGATGGGGGAGGTAGGGGGAGGGATGGGAGGAGGTAGGGGGAGAGATGGGGGAGTAGTTGCGCACACATACACACACGCACATACGCATGTGCCTATACCGTACTGTGACATGTCGTACCTCCAGGTCAAACTCTCCACTGCTGACGGACGCATTGACGGGGATGTGGGTCTCCTGCTGGGGCCGGGAGCTGACCGCGTCGCTGCCACTGCCTCGGCTACTAGCAACCACGGGGACAGTGCCGGCGGAACAGCCGCCGCCGCTACCGTTAGGGCCGTGAGAATGTACGACACCCTGGCTGTCTTTGTAGGTCTTACGCGGCCAGCCATGCGCCAAGAGCGCCATTTCGGAGGGCAACATTCGGCTCAGGTCGCCAGATCGAGCCAGACCGCGAACCTATTTCAAAACATTTAGTGGCGAAAACGGATAGACATTTACATTCAAGTCCGTCTTATTTGGTGAACATCGGCAGCAAGGACGGAAAGAACCGTGCACATAATGCTCGTCCGCATTGCCGTACCTCTTCCGGCTGTAGCGGCGACCGGATGACTCCAGGGGGGTAGCCCCGCGCCTCAAGCTCCTCGGGTGCTCGGCGCAACGGCCCACGGCCCCCGCCGCGACCCAGCTGCCGTACAAGCTCGCGAAGCTCCGGAACCTTCTCGAGGACCTGAAGGCAGTACGACAGGACGGGGATACATAACGACATTACAACAAAATCTGCGAGGAGTCAAGTTTCCACTTTGTGTGTAACATTGCCGCGACAAGGATTCCAATGACGATGGAAACCTGACGCAAGCAGTTGTATGTGTGTGCTAGTGTGTATCCGTACGATGGTGGATGAAGGGGAAGACAAAAGAGCGGGCGGGCTGGCGGGCGGGAGCGGTCCACACACAATTAAACACACACCCAAAATGCATGCATGCGGAGTTCTGTGCCGACACGCCCCACCTCCCGCAGTGTGGACAGCTCACTCCAGCCTGTACGACGCCACACTCCCCGCGTCAAATCGAACCCCTCATCGCCCTCCAGCAGCGCTGAAAGCCAAGGGGGGAAGGGGGGAAGGGGAGAGAGGGTATTATGGGGGATGTGGGGTTTTAGGGTTTTGGACCAGCAATGTGGCCTTGTCGTACACTGAGGTACAAATGAATACAACGGGTAAGGTCAAAAAAAGCTCATGCGTACGATACATTGGGGGTCCTAAGGGAGGCTGCCTCTGTGTGTGTATGTATGTATGTGGGGGGGGACAGAGGACACCCCCCGGGGGAAAGGGGGGAAAGTATCCCCCAAAAACACACTGCACGATGAAGTTCCATAAAGTTGCGGTGTGATGCTTACCTCCATTTGGATATACACGCATACATACACGAGACCAATACGCACAGCCGCTCCTTCCCGCCCTTCACCCCTGTCCGACCCCCCCTTCCATCCCCTACCGTTCAGGTCATCAAACGCCATCTCCCCAGTCTCCAGGTTCTCCATCACCTGACTCATATCCGCCTCGAACTGCCGTACAATATCATCCGCAATTCGCTCCAGCTGCTGTTCCAGCGCCTGTTGCTCCGGGGAGGGTCGGGAGCTGCGGGGAGGTGGGAATACACGCCAAGGGGGTAACCAGGGGGGAGTGTGTTTTCTTGGGCGGGGGAAGAGAGGGGGGAGAAAAAACCGGGAAAAGGGGGGAAATACTTGCCAATTTACAGAAACAAGGGGGCGGGGGAAGCGGGGGGATTTGAGAAGAAAACCCTAACCCTGTCCGGTTTTCCCTTTTTTATTGATAAGTGGGGAGGCCCCCAATAGTTGGGCCGGCCCCTGCCAGCTACACAGCCTCAGGTACACCCCCCCATCCTTAGCCCCTACCGCCTTCACAACTGCGAGAGGAAAACACACACATCCGCACCGCCTGGGACGCAATCACCCGGGCGGCCCTGTCTGCCACGGAGGTAGCCAGATGCTGCCTGCGAGCAGCCTGAAAGCGGCTGGAGCACCCGAGGGGCCAACCCCGAGACACAACAGCCGGAGCACACACAACAGATCCCCACAGCACAAGAGCCCCAACAGCGGCGGAGAACGGACCTCTTCCGTTTGGCCGGGACCCATGCTTCGGCTTCGGCCCCCGGCTTTACCAGCCCACAGTGTAATTAAAGTCATACATACATACGTACATATATACGTACATACATACATACATACATACATACATACATACATACATACATACATACATACATACATACACTCACTCCTTATTGTCGCCCTCCATATCCTGAAGGGTTGCGTGGGGGGGAAAGGGAAACGGATGATAAGAAGGCACATCGCCAAACCCGGATATGCAGAAGACATGGATGTCATTGCGACGTGCTGCCGCCATGGCGAGAGAGCCACACACAGCTTCCTCCAAACCACCGCTCTCCCACATACGATTGAGTCCTCCCGTACACCTCCTCTCCCTGCCACCCGTATTCCTCCACTTGCCCACCTGCATCTTGATTTGCAGTTGTGGTCGGTTGGCAGTTGTTTGTTGCCGTTGTTCCTTGGGTAGATTCTGTTGGGCCTGCTCGATGGCCTGAGCATTGAAATTGGGGGTTGGGATGGGGGTGGGGTGGGGGAGGAGGGGGGGGAGTTCGAGGCCGGGGGAGGAAGGGGGTTCGAGGCCGGTTCGAGGCCGGTTCGAGGCCGGGCCACACCGGGGTGGGAGGGGGGGAGACGAAGGAATTAGGATGAACTCCAAAATGCATGTCAGTTTGCCGTACCATTCCGGTCTTTCGAACTCAACTCTAAGGTCCAGGCACTGGGCCCCCCCCCCGGGGATCCCGCTGCCCACATTTCCCCCTCAGAGTGTCTGGAGCTTGCACGGTATGACTCACGGTTCTTCCGTACCACTGTCTCGCAACCCCCGGTGTCGATTTCCCCTCCCCTTCACCACCCAAATACACACACGCATACACGGCGCCCACTAAGCACAACACGCATGCACTGAAAACACACATATGCACGCTCGTGAAATGCACATGCTCGGAAAACACGGCATCAGACACACACATGCACACACACGCTTACATCTTGCATCATCTTCTGCAACTCCTCCTCACTGATCTCCTGCGCATGCGTATGCGGGAAGCATCCCGAAGAATTTGATGACGTGGCGGGTGGGTACGGCATACGGGTACTACAAGACGCACACAGTATGCGAAGCTGTACTACAAATAGCAAATAATGCGGTTCTCCTCCATCATCCCCGGCACTGTCCCCTTTGAAGTTTGCGAGGAAGCCCCAAGTACGACCAGACCGCCCAACCCTCCCCACCACATCTCCAGCGACCCATGGGTCGTACGAGACCGGCCGTGAGCCTTAAATCCTGTTGGAGCGACCGTTACAAATTCTCTAATCCTACCTCTCACCTCCTAACTTTAGCCGTGCGGCATAATCATATCCCACGCCCACACAAGCCACGGAACCCGAGCAACAAGTCCCTGCAAGACAACCTTCTGCAACCCCCCCACACGCCGACAAATACATGCATGCACATATATATACATATATATACATATACATATACATATACATACATACATACATACATACATACATACATACATACCATTTGTTGGGGTGTGGGCTGGTCGGGCTGCTGCTGTTGGTCCGACCCTGCCCCACCCGCCGCCGACTGCGACATTTGCGACTCTGTCTGCTGCTGCTGCTGCTGCTGCTGCTGCTGCTGGTCCTGTTGCTGCTGGTTGGGTGCGCTTTGCTGCTGCTGCTGCGTCCGCTGTTGCTGCTGCTGTTGTTGCTGCTGTTTCTCAGCCGCCGCCAACTTCTCCTCAAATTCCTGCGTTGCATTGAACACGTGTCTACGTCTGTATGATGTGTGGAACAGGGGGGCATATCTTCACCCGTGGCAGCTACCCGGCGAAACCCTGCCTTCCCCGGTATTTCGGGGCGCCCTCATCAAGTCACCCTAGTCAACTTCTCAGTGGATCGCTCATGTTCCGCACCCACCACCAGCATCCAACGGAATCCGCCGGATCGACGCACCCACCGCCTCCCCCCCACCCTTTGTTATGTTACTGCGTTCCTGGTACGGCATGTACCCGGGGGGGGTGGGGCTCTTTTACCCCTTCCTGCGTCCCCCCCTCCCCTCAACCTCCGCTTGGAGCCCCCACATACACATCCCCCACCCACCCAGCCGCCTCAAAGGCTCAAAAGACTTACATAAGCTAGACTGAGCATCTGCTTCATGAGGGTGTCCAGTACGGCAGGGTACCGCCGAGTAAATCTGGGCATCTCCAGGTTCCGGAGCGCGTCCTGCACATGTCACCATATGAATACGGCATGACGAGTTTAGAAAACACCTGGAAAACAAGCTGGCCCACCTCTCCCTACTGGCGCCCCACCCCAATACTCCAGAAGGCCCCCCCTGCTCCCCCACCCCCTACGTCACTCACAGCAAATTTGCTTCTGAACGGCTCCTGGGGCCATTCCACATCTTCCAGCCGCGGCAGTGTACTTCGGGTGGGTGGCGGGCAGGGGGGAGAGGTGGGAGGGGGCAGGAAAGGCATGTGTGTATGGGGGGGCGTTGGGAGCTGACAAGGGCCAGGGAGCATGTGCGGTGGAGGTGGGGAAACTGTACAACGGTCAACGAAACAATGGCATTGGGAGGAAGACTTGCCGGCTCTCTTGCCCTTGTCCTCCCTCCCTTTTTCCCCCCTGGTTTCCATATTTCCTCCCCCCGCACCCCCTCCCCCCGCACCCCCTCCCCCCTCACCCCCTCTGGAGGGCCATCTTCCACGTGGCTAGATTGTCCGCTCGGGATCTCAGATCCAACATCCCCCGGGTGCCCGGCAGCTCCACCAGCGAGTTCAACATGCCCTCGCTCAGCTGGGCGCGGTTGGACCAGCCGGGCCCCATCAGCCTGGGGGAGGGAGGGACGGGGGGGGGAGAAGGGGGCCGAGTGTTTTGAAAGTTGTGTTTTGACAATCTGGGGCGGCCCGCGGGCCGGAAGAATGGTATGCGGGTCCCCTCGTCATCTGAGCCACGAGCAGGAAAGACGAGAGGATGGTTCAACCAGGGAGTCCTAACTGGAGAAAGCTCTTCGTAGTCCAGAGATGTGGTTGTGTATGTGTGTAGGGGGGTGGGGGGAGGGCGGGGGAGATAAGAGGGTCCAGGAGGAATGCAGCAGACCATTGTCAGGATGGGGGGCTAGGGCGGATGCGAGAAGGGACGATGGAAGGGGGGAGGGTAAAATGGGTGGTGGTGGTAGGAGTTAAGGCAAGAATCGGGTGACTGCTTGCAGGATGTCCGAATGGTCCGATTGAAGATGATGATGTCCCTGGGGCAGTTCGACACAGTCCAACTTACTCGAAAGAAAAGGAGGGCCGATCAGATTCCTCTGCGCGCGGGATGACAGTTGTGCGCTTCTGGATACTCCAAAGGTGAGCTGCTGCCCGCAAACCAGGACCACGAATGGTGATGTGAGCTCCAAGGGGCAAGTGCGGCAAAACTCTGGAGCTGCCAGTTAGGTGATGTGCCCGTCGCTTATCGACATGACGAATGCCACCTGAATTTTGGCCATAGCCAACTAGGGTGTTCATGGCCGAAGCAAGCAAGTTAGGTCTTTGTCACAGCCAGCGCCTACACTTGCATATCCAGCTTCAGTAAATAGTAGTCATTCGATCACTGCTTCATTTGGGCTTGAATGCACAAGGTAATGCACATGGATGCCCACTTGTTTTCACGACACTACACGGCATCCTTCTTTTGTCAAGATGGTACCGTGGATACCACAATTGTTCTTGCAATTCCGTGTACTGGCTCTGTGGGCGTAGATACGTAAAACTTTTTAGCAGCCGTCTCACAGGAAGATCGAACTGGAACCATATGAAGTATACTTAACTTCCTGCCAGTAAAGGCCTTTCGGCTTTACGATGGCAACCAAACGCCCACTGGCTCTTGACTACACAGCGCATGGCACCGCAAAGGGTTGGAGGGCGAATGAACACTTAATAGACGCTCTTCCTTACGTTGACCATGTGCCAGCAGAGCTTAGACCAGTCGTTGATGCATTAATTGAGGAGGAGAAGCGGAAGAGCGCCAAGCTGCCCAGCGACTACTTGCGGGAACTGCCTCCCGTGCGTGCGCCGCAGTTCGACGAGCACCCAGTGCTCAAGACGGAGTATGAACGGTGCGCCAAAGTGCCTACGAGGCTGCTCTCTGACGTTCTCTGGGGCCGCTGTAGCGTGGGGTGAGCTGCTGCGCCCGGGCGCACATGCAGGGTGCGGTCCAAGCAGCCGATGCAACCGCTGGACACCGTCCGCTACCGGCTCGATCCCCCGCCCCAGAACAAACGGGGTGACGTCAACGCATGGCGGCAAGCACTGGAGAACGCGCACAGCCAACTGGAACACCAGCACCTCCGTATTCTCAATCAGGAGCTGCTGCTCAAACATGGCGACAAAAGCTGGCGTGCGCAGGTCCAACACGACGAGGCTACGATAAAATCCCTGGAGCAGCAGCTAACGGCTATTAAGAAGGAGACGGACCAACTTAACCGAGAGCGCAAGCTACAGCAGCTTGCAGCGGGTAAGAGGGGCAGGTTACGCCGCCGCTTTCCACCTCAAGTATTTCCAACGCCTTTACGCCTTTGGCTTCGTGCCATGCGTCTTTCTATCTTCAGGTGCCGAGCTGTCCAAATTGGAGCGACACTACATGGCCCAAGTGCGTAAGAACTGGGACATTGAGCGCGCGTGCACCCGCCTGGAGGAGGAGGTGGCGAAGGCGGAGGCGGAGCTGCAGCGGCGATTACAGGCGGTCGTCGCGCAGGTGAGGAAAGGGCGATGGCGAAAGGCAAAGAGCAAGGGAAGGGAAGGAGGAGGATGGGAGGAAGTGGAACCGTTGACACGGTTTGGGGCCCCGACCGGCTGTCGTGATGTGAAGGGGGGGAATGTATGCAAGAAGTCACGGAAACGCCCAAGGCAGGCCCAAGGTAGGTGCCAGGTCAGGTGGTGTTGGGAACAGTAACAGGAAGAATGATCTCCAAAAGGGAAAGGAGGTAAGCACGTCGTGCTGAGGCGCTTCGCCCTGAAGCGGACGAGGGAGAATGAAGATGACCTCCCGCGTACCCGCATCAATACCAATACAACGTCCATGGCCCCCCGGCTTTTACGGACACCCCCGCACTTGTGTGTGCGGAACTTGTAACTTGGTAAGCAAAGGTGCCTCCTTTCATGTGGTGTACGGCCGCCACCAACCCACCCTCTTCCCACTTCCGGGGCAACCCACATCGGGGCTTTGTATCCATGCTTGGTTTATTCCGTGCAACCCTTTCCCCTCTTAATGATAGCGGAAGGAATGTTAAGTGTACGAAGAGGGACGTGTATGTATGTCGTTTGTTGCCTGATATCCCTTCCCCTTTCCCCTGTAAACCACCGCTTAAGAATTCCCTTCTTTCCCATTCTTTGGTTTTTTTTGGATATGCAGGCATCTGCAAGTGATGTGCCGAGGCTGCAGGAAGCAGCTCAGGAGGTGGCAGAGGAAACCGCTGCAGCCGTTCCCACCACCACGGAGGCAGCTTCTGGCGAGGGCAATGATGCCGGGCCAGCAGCAGCGGCCGCGGACACAGACGTAGAGATGAGTACGGCAAGAGAAGAAGGGCCGGTGGGCGAGGCTGGAGGAGGGGAGGGTGAGGGGGGCCGCACAGGTGACGAGGCAGGAGGGGAGGCCGAGATGGAGGGGCAGCAACCAAATGGACTGCATCCTGGGGAAGCAGGCCAGGAGGGGCGGGAGGAGGTGGTGAATGCATGAAACCGTGTGCTGACAAGCAGTGGGATCAAGTAGGCTTGTGACCGCTTGCCTGTCAATGGCCACATGTAGCCGAGCGTGGTGATGATGAGGCCTTGATGCCGCATGATGTACGGGGCAAAACTGGGCTTCGGGGTGCTGTGCTGAAGCAGAACTCTGCCGTACAGTACCGCACTCAAAACATTGTAGAATTTACAAGGTATGGAAGCCTCTGACGCTAGATGGAGACGATGGTTAGATGAAGGGAAGATGAGGAGGTGGAGGAGCGCCTGAGTAGACCGCATGACCCTGGTCAGGGCTACAATGTGTTATCTGGCCCAGCCGGGCACACCCCAGTTGAGGAGATCTTTTAGCCATCGCACCCCGAGGGCCGAGGATCCATTTGTAATGTGACCTAAAACGAACTGAGGGTGAGGTTTCGAACTGGGTGGGATTACAGAGCCACTACCAAACCACCTTCGGAAGCTCACAACAACAACCATCCTGGGGAGATGGGGCGAGCAGTGCTCCCACAAGCAGAGTTGAGTGGAGCTGACACACCGAACACTACCGGCCATTTGTTGGGGGTTGAAACAGCACTTGGTACTTGTTATGTGCCATAAAGGGGCAGAACATACCTCAAACATTCAAGGGAGGGAGGAGATTACACGTTGGCATGTGATGCTTCCTCCCGAGGAGGGGCAAAAGGGGGAGAGGTCATAGTATTCCGTGGCGCATTCCGTCAGGCAGGCTGCGCTTGTGTATGTATGTATATATGTAGCTTCCAGAACTGGTCGCTGGCAGTAGACGCATTTAGGAGGTCTGTGTGGCCAGGAGGAGATGGTGGTCAGTGGAGGAGATGGCCTCCATTCCTTCTCTGACGGTTGGCATTCACTGCATGCAGCTTACGGCTATCAGCGGGAATGGCTCATAATGGTAAGGCTACATAGATGTGGACTGGTAGGGTCGCATACAGTGTGTGCGAGATGATTCAGACATATCTGCCTTGTTAAGCAGAGCAGGGGAAATGGAAGCGCTGGTGGTTGCCTATGGGCGACATCCCAGCCCCAGCCCAAACAAGGCAAGATAAAAAGGAGCTAGAATTGAGGCAGATGTGGCCTACAGACAAGTGAAGGCACTCAGGCTCCTTTTCATATTTCGGTCAAAACTGGCTTCTCGGTCTTTTACACATACATGTGTGTGTCTCCATTCCAGCATACATGCAGATGAGGGATGCCCCTTCCCCTCCACGCACTCGCCTCCTTGGTCCGATCAATCTGATCTTCGCTCCTTTTCCGACATCAAATCACACACCCATTCACAGCACACACACGCACACACACATTTCTTCACACATGTTCATGGTTGGGTCGTGAACAGCCCCCTGCAGTTACCTTGTTACAAGTGGGAAGTGGTGTCCATGTGTGCCGTCTCCCCTTCACATTATCTCTGAAGACCTCCTTGCCACTCCTTCACCCGTCCAGATCCCGAACCCTCACAACCCCCCCTCCACTGCCGCCGTCAGCAGCGCCTCCCTCATGGCCGCCTTTAGCTGCCCGCAACCCCCCAGCGCCAGCTCCAGCCCTTCCTGCATCTCCGAGTCAGCCCACAGCCCCCTCACATTGAGCGCTGTCACCTCGTTTAGCTCGGGCATAAGGCCCACCAGCATGCCGCCCTCCTCAGCTCCTGACTCCTCCAGGGAGGGGTCCAGAAGCAGCAGACCACGCTGCTTGCTCTGCATGGGGGACCCGAAGTCGGGTGGGGTGGGGTCACATTGGGAAAGCCAAACAGGGTGTCTTGAGGGGGGAAAGACGAACCACGAGCGAGCGAAGCTGATGTCCTTAGGGGGGGCAAAGGGGGACCGGGCATGAAAACCTACAAACACACCCGGGGGGATATTCCGTGGGGAGGTAGGGGGCGACCAGTGCCCGGGATCAAGGTGGAATCTTCAATTCTATGTCATTCCTGTGTGCCGTGGGGGGCTGCATGATGCATATACCGCTTAGGGCTTTGCCTGTAAGATGTGCACCAAGAATGGCCGAGAACTCCATAGTGATGCGTGCAATGGCGATGGCGGCTGCAATACGAGCTAGGATACGGCTGCCATAGCATCTGTCTGCTCTCCAGCTTCAGCTCTGTAACCCCCATCCTTACGAGGATCCAGCGTGTTGTGGCTTCCACTTACCACTTGTACGGCAGGTACGAGGTCGTACAGCTCAACGCCTGCATCCGCCAGCGCGACGGATGCCGCGGTGATAAGCACTGCCAGGTCCGAGCCACCGGCCTCGAGTATCATCGCAGAAACGTCGAACACCGCCTTTGGGAACTTATCCAGCTGGACCGAGGGCTCTAGGGCTTGTTGCAGACCTTGGGCTGCTGAGCTCTCTAATTGGGTCTACATAGGAGTAAGTACACAGTAAGAAAGCACCACACACATGAACAAGACTATGGGAAAAAAGGATCAGCAGGGCTTGGGAAAAACCGTAAGGCGAGCTTGCCAAGGCGCCAGGCAAGGCCCAAATGCACGTCATCGGAGGGCTGAGGATGCGCAAGGAGTCAAGAGACGTGCGCGGGAAAAGCTTTTGTGGGAGAGTGGAAGGGAAACTTAGCGTAACGGTGGTGCATGGACTTGGGCCTTACTGTGGTGGAAGGGGTGCGTGGCGTGGTGTATCTCGCTGAGGAGAGCGAAGGATGAGGTGAACCGGAGCAGTTTGATCCACTTGGTCAGTGACTGTGACTTAATATATTAAAACTAGGGGGAATAGAATTAGGGGGAATCATAGACGGCGTGCTGGCGAGGATAGAACAAGGTATGGTGCCGGGGGCGACGGGTTGCTTTGACTAACCTGTCCCGATTTCGCCAGTTTATGTGATGCAAATGACGTAAGGCGGACCTCACAGTTCAATCGTCCTGTGTCTGTAAACCCGAGCTTGACCTCGCTTTGCCGCGGTCCAAACCTACGGGAATGGTGATCCCGGATTCAGTCCAGGAGCGTCGGTCCGAACGGCGTCGTCAAGGAACCCCGCCTCACTGGTGCGGTAAGCACCGAAGCAATGTTGTTGGGGCTGACTTACACGCCAACCATGACCTTCGTTGTTCCAAACTCAACGTATGCGGAGCCTTTAGCTTGCGATAGGACGCGAGTCTTGATGACTGCGCCCGAAGGGGACAGGCGGCCACAACATAATGCGTAGTTATATGGAGTAACTGATTTAGTGTATACCGATTACAACTTACAAACTGTTCGAAATTCTTCAAGGCCACGTCCGTCGGCGCGGCAACCTGAAGTGCTTGCTTCCATGGGCTCCGCCATCCAAAAAAACAGTCCTCTAAGAAGCCTGTAACAACTTGATCAACCTTAACTGGAACTGAGGCACGTTATTTATATCGCAGCTTAAGTTACCAAAAGTCACTGACTCATGCTGGCTGCTAAAATTTCAAGGTGATGGCGTCCGCTTCACTGAGACTAACTCACATTCAGGGAGTAAAATCTTTGTCAAGACTCGGCCAAAAATTCACTAACGGATTCACTAAAGGGTGAAAGAATAACTGCACACCAACGGTCGCAGCCGCCCTTTTACGGTTGTAGCAGGGTCGAAAGCTCGGGGCTCGAAGCATCGTTGTGGTGGCTATCCAAGCTCGTTACAATCTTGGTGCTCCACGGAGGTGCCGGGTCTATCTGCTAGCGTTTTGTACTGCGACACGTAAGGACCCATATTCGGTTATGACGGTTACGGCGGCTTGAAGACGCAGTAGCAACACTCCTTCCATGTCCGGGATCTCAAAATGCACATGGACGACCTCTGGACGGTAAAACTTCTAGAGCAGAGACAAGGGGCCTTACACATCAAAAAAATCCCTCCGAATTCCCCCCTCGTGCAACAAGTCCTTGCGGGCTAACAAGCACTAACAAACTCTCCTCAAGAAGTCTCAACGTGTGCAGTAATGCAGCCAAAGTGGTACATTATAACCTAACACCTCTAATTACTCGCAGTAAAGGCTTAGCACAGATCCATATGTAGATCACGAATACCCTGAATGTTGGACAAGCCATCGGGGGATGACACCCAGGACTGCCGTCAAAACAAAGACAGATCCAGCACAGGAGCACAGGCGTCCGACTGGTGCTGCCACAATAAAAGTGCGAAATCATGGCAAGACGGGCAACTGTACACCGGTGTCGAATTGCGGCCCTCCGCCTCTAGGAATCAAGCCAGGCAACAAAGCAAAATCAGGATGTGACTTGGACACTGTAATCTCGTACTCGCTAGAAAGACGGGTGTGCACGACTAAATACCTAAAAAATATTGAAAAAGATGGTACGATACGGTCTGACTGCCGTGCATTGCGTCACGACTATTGTACGGCTTTCAACTCGCAATTAGCGCTCAGTCACCCACCTGCCGTGTCGTGTATGGCCCTTTAAGCCTGAAGGGAATAAGCCGAAACACTGTAAACTTGGGAAGCAAGCCTTCCCGCAAGCAGCACCCCGACTTTATACACACCTGTGATGCAGGTCTTAATACGTTAGTCCTAAAATGAGTCAATCTCGGATCCAAATTATCCTGATCAGCCCTAACCGACATACACTTGAAGCTTTAAAGATATCATGGCTGCCTGTCTTCCGTACACACATCAAGTCGTAATGTCAAAATAGAGTTACGCAGTCGAAGGTTCGTCAAAAGAATTCCGGTAGGACTATCTCATGATGCACCTCCCGTTTTCGCTCTTCTTCTTCCTCCGTCTGGAGAACACACGGCTTCGGCAGATGAATACGACTGATGAAAAAACCCAAATCACTTGGGCTGCTTTCTTCTTCTCTTCTTTCTTCTCAATGCTGGCGCGCCGTCAGCATGGGACCGCGGCTCTTTACAACCGATCGCTCCACATCTTCAAGGTTCACGCCCTTCGCCTCAGCGATAAGCCTCATGGCCCGCTCAAATGCCTCAAAGTTTAGCTTGGCCGAGTCCTGTTAAGGGATGTAGGTGAAGATAAGGCTTCAGATGGAATATCAGGGTTGTGCGTTCACGACCTGGAGAAATTCAGGGTCAGGGCGATACTTCTTGCCTCCTCTTAGTAAACCCAGGGATAGAGTCGTCATCCTCCGCTGGTAGAATCCTTTGGATAACAGTCCATACCTGGGCTCCTTACCGTGGCGAAATCGCCCCAGTTCTGCAACCCGCTCTACTCCTCTCCTCCCCTCCCCTCTCCAGCCACCAACCCACCAAGCCCAGCCGCGCACCTTAACCCATCACCACAGCACCCAACTACACTGCCATCCGCTCCCCGACCCCCGACCCAGTCAGTCACCATCCCCCCACTCACTCACCCCACCTACCTTGGGCTTGGCGCGCACAAAGATTAGCTCCGCCTGCACCGCCGTGAAATGCTTGTCCAGCAGGCCCGTCTCCCGGACCAGCTTGATGAATTGAGCTACACCCATCTCAGGGCGTGGCGCCGGCGGCGGCAGGTGGTAAAGGGAAGCCGGCGAGTGCGTGTGGACCGGGGGGGTGCTGAGGTTGCTGTTGTAGCTGCTGTTGTTGCTGTTATTACCTGTGCCAAAGTTGGCCCACATGAGCCACATATCCTGCAGCTTTCCGCTGGGAGTGCCGGACCCTGCACCGGTATGGACAGAGCAGCGATGAACACGGAAGGATAGGGCGCGCTAGTGATGGATGACCGGGAGCTGGGGGACCGCAGTGAGGTGAGATAGGAGAGAGAGCTAGAGCTAGAGCTGCTGCATGATGCCATTGGAAAGCCAGCTTACCGGCTCCACCGACGGTGGAGCGCCGCTTCGCGGAATGGCTCGGGGTGGGCGTGGCTGAGGCCGACCCCGAAGCCACCAGGTTTAGACTGAGATTGACGCCACCACCCTGCCCCGGCTGCAGGACCGGCGACTGCGGCTTGCTGTCAAACAAGTGGCCCGACTGGCGGAGGAGGGCCCTGAGGATTTCGGGATTCAGGACAGAGGGAAAATAAGACAGGGGTATCAGGGATCGGGACAAGAGTTATGGAAGGGCAGGAGGTCAGGCTAAGGATTACTGATACAGTTTTAATACACGCACGTGAATTACACAGCCTGAGTGTGTTAGTGCCGCACTTGACGTGTCACTCCCAACAAGTATGAATGGATCGATTGGGCTACACATACACGCTCAGCGCTGTGTTTTGTAGTAGTAGGCAACGTTCAGTGTAGGCGATGTTCAACTCACCTGGGAGCCTTCTTGTTGGAGTCAAAGGAGCGGTCCAGCAGTGTCGCCAGGTCGTGAGCTGTGTCGGACACCTTGGGACCACCCTTGGCATACACGCCTGCGGGCGAGAGTGGGTTGGGGACAAGATTGCAGTTTGCTGTGGTGGCCAGGACAGGCAACAAGCGGAATAAAGGTGGAGAGCCAGCGCGTGCACATCTGCAGAGCCGTGGATAACCCCATTTGACACTGACGTCAACTGGCTCCGAAACCACCCGCCCCGCTGTCAAAACACATATGTTCTTCATACTGACCTGTGTACGTGCTCTGTTCGGTGCAGGATGGCGGTTTGAACGCGTGGGAGCAGAGGAAAGGAGGTCGGATGGAATGGATCCGGAAGGGGAGAAGGGAGGCAGACAGTAATTAGTTACATAGCTGGCAGATGTGTAGACACGGAAAGGGAGGATAAAGGATATGGAAGCAAACAAAGCAAACATGGAAAAAATACACACGGTGCGGTCAACACGTCGGCATTCTCGCTAGTCCTGCCTAGTTCCTTTCTCGGCTTCATCCCATAAATTGCACACAGTGCATACACGGCGCGGCTCAGTTTGTGCAAAGCACACACGTTGGACGGCACACGGTACATAGGCGATGTCCTCTCGTAGTGCACAGTGGCACGTACCCGGTCATCATGCAGCCGCACGTTCTCGGCCTTGGTAGCCCGTGCCACGGGGCCCTGGCAGGCCAGCACGGAGCGCACCAGCGTCTCCAGATTGACACCCTTGCGCTCCGCACACTCGGCCAGCGCTGTCAGGAAGCCCTCGAAGCTTAACTTGCGGCAGCCCTTGGGCTTGGCCTGCAGACAGTACCCCGACACACAAGTACATAGAGACGCAACCATTTGCTTGCCTAGTATGCTGGCCCCAGCTGATCACTGCGTTATTAAAACATGGCCGCACATTAACGAACAATTTGTCCCAGAATCACGTCTTCTATTCGTGGCCCAGTCGGATAAAAAGGATCCAGAAACTTGCGTTTTGGTATAAAGGATGTTGTTCCTCTTGACGCATCCAATTGCTCCGGATTGCTCCATGAATGCGCTTTTGCAGCGCCCATGACCCTTGCATTGGCTTGTCCACCCAGCCATCTACTACCCCCCTCACCCACCCGTGCAAATGCCAGGTCAATGTCTGTGACGGTGAGGTCCCGTCCGAGCAGGTTGCAGTCCTTGCAGAACTTGGCGAAGTGCACGTTGTCCATCTCGTCAACCACCTGAGATCAGAGGTTAAGAGGGGGCCGGTGGCGGGTAACAAGCACCGTCAAGCAGCAGGTCAGGAAGGGAAGCGTGCAGGATAGGGCAGTGGGGGACGTGGGGCTGTCGGCTGCCGTTCGGGTGCGAAACTGCCAACTCTAGTCGTTACAGGCAAACCTCGTTAATGCTCCAGTTCCAGACATGCATGTCACTCCCAACGCTGCATCGCCCACAGTCCCTTTACAGTTCTCCTCATGCACACGACAGGTCGGGCCGGTGTGCATATGTGGTGCATAAGAAACCTTACTCTGGCACCCCCGGCGTCCCGGGACTCACCTCTTCCTATAGGTGTTTCCCCAAAGTAACCCTGCCGTAAGGCAGCCTCACCTGGCGGGTGCCGAAACTGCAGAAGTCATCAAAGAATTGCTTCAGCTCCACTGCGAATTGTGGCGAGGTGCGCATTGAGCCAGCAGGGGAATGTGCTTGTGAAACAGGGAGTCCACAAAGGAGAGGTAAACAAAAGAGAGGGAGAAAGATGGTGCAAAGAAAGGCAGGAAAGGACAGAGAAAAAAAGAATGCACGCACCAAGAACGCGGCCAACCGCGCTTCAACGTTTTGGAAAAAGGTGGTGGCGAGGTGGCACGCACGGTTTGTTCATGCACACACAAAACGCAGGCTGGGCATGCAAAGGCAGTACATCTGGATGCTGGTTTAATGGTGTCCCGTTGACGGGTCCAAATGGCAGGATTCCCCTTCCGCGTGTCCGGATTAAGACCGTGGCTGGAAGACCTTACCCTCGGCTGCCGGGCCCAGCGTCAACCGCAGGTGCTTGCGTGCGTTGCTGCACGTGAGCGTCTCATAATACCTGCGTTGGGCATTGTCCGGAGAGAAGTAGCGGGAGAACAATGATTAACAGAGGACAAACGGGGTGAGGACGGAGATGAAACAGGACGGCGGCTGGGAGTTGTGATCATGGCGCACTACACTATGCGTGGGAGCACAGAATGGTGCAACTTTCCAACACCTCGGACTGCCAAACCCATCCACCTACCATCACCTACCCATCCAAGCTCCGAGTTACACTCCTCACTCACCCACCCACCCTAGTTCATCTAACCCACCTGGCGAACTCTTCTGCGGTGATGCGGCCGTTGCTGTCCCGGTCTGCCAGACTGAACGCCCGGCCCACTGCCGCCTCCATCTCCGCCGGCCGCAATCCATCAAGTGCTCCAAGGTCCGCGAGTACTGCACGCAGACTATTGCGGTCCAGGTAGCCCACCTGATCCTTGTCATACCTGGCGCAATGGGAGAGGGAAAGGGGTGCGTGGTGACTGCATACAGATCCGGTAAGGAACCGGGTTATTCGCGCGACTGGCATGCGAAATCCTCTTGACATACAGCCCATGAAATCCAGAGTAATTCAGCGATGTAGGCGTGCACATAGGTATACGCACATGCATGTGAATGAGCAGAGTGAGTGACAAGGAATCCACGTTCACGTCCTCCTGAAGGTCTCGCCAGGTTCCACAGATCACACGTCCTTTCCTCAAGCCCCCGTCCCTTACATGTTGAAGATGGTCTTGCAGTGCTCTACCGCCAGCTGCCGGCCCTGGCCCTGCTCCTGCCGTGCCACCATGCGCGTGTAGAAGGCGTCCAAAGGCACATCCGCCGGCAGCAACGCCAGCTCCCGAGCCACCGCCTCCGCACTCACCCCCAGTTGGCTGGCCAGCTCCAGAGCGTCGTCCAGGGACTGCTTGTTCTGCAGGGTGGAGAAGAAAGTGATTGGAGAGGAGTTGAGGGGCCGTAGGGAAAGGAGAAGGCGGAGCATAGACGTTACCCGAGCACAGCCATGAATGCACGGAAAGACGAGGGGGTGGTTGAGGAGAAGAAAGTCGCCGACTCAAATGTAGGCCAGCCAACAGCGTGCGGCGAAGGCAGTCGTGGCGTAGATTGATTGGCGGCATGAAGGGGTGGACGATGGTGCAACAGGCTCGTACCCGCAGGTGCTGTTTGCGATGGAAGGGCAACAGTACCAGCCCCCGGTTAAAACAGGATGGTTCAGCATTCACCATGGATAGAGGGCGCCAGCTCGCCCCTGCATCCCCTGACAATTCCAAAGTTCCCTCCTTCCCCACTGGGCCCTCCTCTGCCCACACAGCACAATGCATGCTAGCATAATAGATATCTCGACGATCCTTAGAGTTCCTTAAGCGAATTCATCCCTATCCACCTTGGCCGACTTGAGCCCCTGTGCAACGCTGCCACCACCCATGCGCTTCAGGCAGCGGCGCAGGTTGCGGTTGACGTCCAGGTACACGCCGCGAGCCAGGGGCGCGGGCTTGCCGGGTACCTCCAGCCCGGCGGCCTGGCGGGATTAAAAACGAAACCGCGCGGGGTTAGGGAAATCCCAATGAAAGACAGACCGGACTTAAGCAATGTGAAGGGGCTGGGGGGTTAGGAGGCTGAGTGGAGGGAGGGGGGATGTAGGAAGAAAGACCACGGACATGGGCATGAGCAAAGGTACGTGAACGGGAGGACGGGAGAATTTGTGGGGATGCGGTGCTCTAAAAACGCACAGGGAAAAGGGCCAATCGTTCCATGCCAGCCGGCATTGTGCTCCTGTGCCATGAGGTCAAGACGGACCACCTCCCTCTGCCTGCTTGCTCACCTCGACTGCGTCGACAATCGCGTTGTGTGCGTTGTCGAAGTCCGGCTTGATGTGGTCGTTGCAAGCCATGTGAAGCAGCCAGCCGTCCTTGCCGTATACCCCAACCAGCTCACAGCCGTCACGCAGCTTCTCCAACACGCGCTCCAAGGCAATCTCCCGCAGCGCGCTGCGTCGGCCTGTGTGGAGCACGCACATACACGTCCATGCATATCGATTGCTCCTTTTAACTAACAGTTGCACACTTCAATACTTGCATGGCCTGGAGCACTCAACTTCATGGCTATCATTCCCTAGTAACCTTACAGAAACGTAGGTTTAGGTAGAATTTGAAGAAGGCAGCGTTCACACCTCTATATCGCTATATGAGTACGGCGCCAGGTGCCGTATGAGGCGAGGGGAAGGCTGAAGCCGTGTCAAACTAAGTTTGCGGACGCGAGTTCGCTGGAACCCGAACAGTGAATTTGTACCCGAACTAAGTTAAGAATATAACCTACAGAGATGGTAATCTACGTGCATCAGGACAGGCGGCAGCAGTTGCGCTGCGTGCCACTATGTGGACAGAGAAGCCCGCTGCTCCGATGACTGCTACACCGCACAGCATCTCAACTCCACCACAGGGGTGCTTGCTCACAGTGCCAGTCTCAGTTTTCCAACTCCAATGGATAAGACAAGAGAAAACACCGTCCCGAGCGGTACCTACCCGCCAAGTCCATCGCGCGTACCACATCCTGGCCAAGGGCTGCCAACATGAACGCATTCTCTCCGTTAGTCACAGCGTTGACGGCAGCTTTGTGAAGCCGGTAGGCAGCACCTGCACGCAAAAACACATGTCACACCACACCCGCCAAGCCGCTAACCCAACAACATCAAGAGGCAAATGGCTCGCTGTGAGCCATGACATGAACGATGCTTCATTTATCAAGCACAAAAACATTTTGTACATTTTAATGACGGCTACCCCTCCAAACGCACGGCGGCACATGTTGACTGACTTCCGTCACCGGCGGGGTTAGGATTCCCAAGGCTGAAGGGAGGCCACGTACCCAGATGTAACCCGATGTAAAACCCTAACCAGATGTACACAGAACCCAGATGTAACCCGGTTGCAGCTCAAAACTCAGCCCCGCGAAGGGAGAAGCTCACCAAAAACGGGGCCAGCCTCTGGGTTCTCGTTCATGGCCTCCAGGAGGCCTGCCGTGTGTTTGCTGTTGATGGTATTCAGGTACTGCTGCACGGGCACCTCCATGTTCTCTTCTGTGTAGGGAAGGAGTGCAGATAGGATGGCTGCCATCCTATCCGGCACGCTGGCGAAAACCTGAGTTGACGCAGCCGGTGGCTCGGCACCCCCAGCGGACTGGTTCATGCCGCGCGAGACAGGCATGGCGCCGCCAGCGGATTGGTCGATGCCGCGTACCACCGGTACATCCTTGTCCGAGACATCACCATCAGCAAAGCGCTCGCGCCCACTGCCATGTAGCTGCAGCGACTCCTGAATTTCTTTATTACGCGCCGAATGTATAGGTGCTGGTGGTGTTGGTGCAGCAGGCACATTAGGCGAAGTGGGCGCACGAGGTGAAGTGGTTGTAGGAGGCGACGCCGGTGCATGAGGCGAAGTGGGTGTAGGAGGCGACGCCGGTGCATGAGGCGAGGCGGGCGCAGGAGGCGACGCCGTTTCACGAGGTGAAGTGGGTGCAGGAGGTGAAGCCGGCGCAGGAGGCGCAGCTGGCGCAAGAGGCACGGCGGGCGCAGCAAGAGCAGGAGGCGTAGCGCTGATCTTGGGTGCAATAGATTCCGGCTGTATTGGTGTATCCTGGGCATCAATAAGGAAAAATGGATTAAGATTTGTTCCGGGTTGGGAGCCCGCCCGACATTTTTGCAGGATATGAACCCACCTGGACATCTCGCGAATCGGGAGGCTGGACGTGTTCCTGCAGATGCCGCAAGCGAGCAGTAGGACTTAAACAAGCTTAGAATGTTGAACTGCACTGGGGGTGCAGTGCTAGGGCGCCTGTGTAAGCTATAGAAGGCCGGACCTTCAGCTTGGCCAAGGTGGCGTTATCGCCTGCCCGGAAGCAAGAGAAAATCCCCATTACTGTTAGTGCAAGTGGACGATGTTTGATGCACGCGCAACTGCGTTGACTATAACGTTTTCGGAGTTTGTCCAGCTGTTCAAGTAGTCAAAGGTCAAAGGTCAGGTCAAGTCGGGTTATATTAAGTAGCGCAATTAAGCTTTGGGGACGAAGTATATGTAAAATAGCCTCGAAGGCTGGTTTGCTGCGAGTTTGTCCACTTTGCGCCTAGGTTCGTGCTCTAGATCCAGGGCGCCGTGCACTGTGCTCGTCGGTCCAGCTGCCCACCCGTAACCTGATGCCATAGCCGGGCTTAATTCTTTGCTTTCATAGCTTTCGTTATTTCTATATACCTTGTGCGGCTTAGAGCAGCAGAAACATGGCTTACCGCAGCGGCTACGAAGACCGCCATGATGGCTTTTATCAAATTCCTCACCTCGTCAATCAATGGGCATATTACTTTTACCACCATATCAGGCACGTGTGATAGGTGCTGCCTCTTGTATCTAGTGCGGCGGCTGACCTTGGGGCGTTGCTTTTGTTGCTGCTTCGCTAGAGCTTTTGCGGGGATCTAGGTTGTTGGAAGCATCTAGTGTGTTGCTTTCTTCAGTACATCCTTTGTTACTGTTTGGCGGCTGGCCTGATCTGTCCATTTGCTGCTGTGTCTATTCAGGGAACGGAATATCGATGAAATTCAGTCTATGTATGAGGTCTCCTTTTTGAAGCTAAGCGACCGCTACTACAAAGCTGCACCATGGCCGGAGGTGCAGCATATTCAGGAGGTGGTGGACCAGGACCACGTGTTCTGCCTCCTCTACAAGGTACAGACAAAGGATTCTGGAATGATTTGGTGGCAGGAAGTCGCTGGCAGCACAGCAACCTTCGGTTAGTGCCCTGCACGTGCCCTGGACCCACCATCCTCACCTACCCGCACCCATCGTTATTGCAGGAGATGTACTTCAGGCACCTTTATGCCCGCTGCCAGCCGACCCTCCGTGACCGGTAAGGCGTCTCGACAGAAAGTTTTTTGCTTCCCGTCCCGCGGCGTGCTGGGAGAGCGACTGGGCGAATCGCACAATGGAAGCGCCACAGCACTTCAATGGAACATTTGTATGGGCATGCATGCAAACACCAAATGAGGGTGACCTTTTTCATGCGTACGCAATGAAATGCATGCAGGTGTGACTCGTGGGATAACTACTGCGACCTGTTTGGGCTGCTGCTGACGAGCAATGTCAACATGCAGCTGCCCAATATCTGGCTATGGGACATGGTGGACGAGTTCTTGTACCAGTTCCAGGTTAACATGTCGGGGGGAGTTTTGGTTGAGATCAACCCTACTTAGAGCCCCATGTAGAATCTGGCTTTAGGACGCACAGGTCGGCCTGTTGATGGGGATTTGTTTATGGACGAACTACAGGCCATGCGCGTGGTATACGGGGCCACGGAGCACGGGGAATGTTTTAGGCACAACTGACACAAGTCGTGCGGGACAAAGCGGCAGATGCATGTTGTGGCTGCCGTCTCCGCTGCTCTTACTGTCTTTGCTACCGCCGCCGCTTCCGTCGCCACTGCCTCCCGCGCGCAGTCGTTCTGCCAGTACCGCGGCAAGGTGCAGTCCATGCCCCCGGAGGAGATTGAAAACCTCAAGAAGTGCGAGGCGAAGAAGGTAAAGTGCTGGTGGTAATACAATGCTCACCCAACAAGTTGATGGGTCGCTGTGCTTGCTGGCTATGTGGATCAGGGCGTACGAGAGCGAATACCGGGAACTATTGCATTTTCATAAGTTCCTGTGGACGGTGTTTGCTGTTAGGTGTGGAACACGATTGAGGTCCTCAATATCCTGCAAGCGCTGGTGGACAAGAGCGGCATCGTGGCGGAGGTCGAGGGCGACGGCGGGGCCAGGTGAGATGGGGGCCCCCGTAGCAAGAACACCCGTTGCAGCTGCACCAGTAACCGGAGCAGATGACTTGCAGATGCCACTGGTTTATGCGTTTATGGACAACAGCTGCAACACGCGGCAGTATTTCGCTGGGAATATCATGACTTATTGCGCACACGCGGGCTAAGGGAAACTGTCTATTGCTTGTATGAGTTCGAGCGTATTGGAATGCATTTTGGTCCACTTTTACTAGCACCAGTGCTGGGTTCAGGTCTTCCAAGTGTGCTCGTCTCAGCACCCGCCCCCACAACAGTCCGCCCATACCAGCAATGTATCTATTAGTACGCTGATGGAATGTGCATATGCTGTCAGGACTAGCGTGACAGGAAAAGATAGTCGCCTGGATCTAGGGATGGATGGCTGTTCAGTTTTAACCAATATTTTAAACTAATGGTTTAGCTTGCAAATACTCGTAAAGGTTGCCATGGGTCAGGCTGGGACAGTGTTACATCCAAGTTTGCAGCGGAATATTGACGTGGGCGGAATGGTTTGGGATTTTCCTGCAAGCCGTTTCCGCTAAAACAGCACTGCCGTTCGCTCTCCCTGTTTGTGTCCCAATTCCCGTGTAGGCTGTGCGAGCAAAATGGCTATTACCCGCACTCGTCGAACGTGCTGCGCATGCTGGGCTACTTCTCCCTGGTGGGCCTGATGCGCGTTCATTGCCTGGTGGGAGACTACTACACGGCGCTCAAGGTGGGATGGGAACGGCCTTGGTAACGGCCTTGGTCAGGGGCTAGGCTTTGGAGGGCTGGCGACTGAGCTGGTGGTCAGCGGTGCTGCTGAGCGATGATAAGTATAGCGCGATCCTCAAGCAGTCAACCCAGGGGGACGGTGCAGATAGAGGCGTTGCAACGCGTGGACTTAAACGATTATGGGTCTCATAGCATTCGATATTAACTTCCAGGTCTATGGGTGAGCAGGGGCGAGGTGGGGCACTGGAAATGGTATGCATGACAGCGCGGTATGCATCAATCGTGCAGCTTTTGCTTGAGTTGTGGGACAGCATCCTCTCTGGCCACTACCTACCCGCTTACTTCGTAGGCGATCTACCCGCTGAACCTGCACGAGCGGAGGTACCTGTTTACGCAGCGCATCGCCGGCGCACACATCACGCTCTTCTACTATGGCGGCTTCTCTTACCTGATGCAGCGCAGGTGGGTACAGTTTGAGGCCCGCACGTACGTTTGTTACCAGGATGTCATGTCATGTGGACGCGCTGTGTTATCGACCCGGCCACGGCGGATTCCATTGCATTTATGCATATTTCCACCATACTTTCTCGCCCATGGACCCTCTGTTTATGCCTCAACCTAAACATACACGCCGTCAGGTACCTGGACGCTGTGCGGTGCTTCAACGCGGTGCTGCTCTTCATTTATGAGAACAAGAGTCAGTATCGCAACAGCCCGCAGTTTGATCAGATGCTCAAGAAGAACGAACAGATGTACCAGCTGCTGGCCATCTGCGTGGCGCTGTGCCCTGTGGCGGCCAAGAGCCTGGATGAGAACGTCCTTATGCAGGTGGGTTGAGGAGTGAAGATGTAAGCCAGAATTGCTGATGCTCTTGTGGGATATATAACACTATTGATCCCTGCCAAACATGGGCGTGAGTGCAACCTTTTGAGGCTGCGCGAGACAATCAACGCTTCCTTACCTTATTGCTCGGAAGCTGCATGTTATGCGTTTGGATTGGATGTACAGCACAAGGCAAAGCCTGAGCCAGTTGGTTTCCTGTCCAAAGGTTTAAACGGGGTGTCCACGCGCCGAGCACGCCTTCTGTAGGCAACCTCTTGCAACCTTATGATATCTATTGCCTGCCTGTCCCGATTTTGCAACTGAACCCAGTTATAACACATATACCACCATAAACGTTATGACTTGTGTGGGTCCTGCATGAACTTGCCTAACCACCTCCTTCCGACCTCTGCCTCTCTGGTCCTTTGCTCTGTAACGATTGTTCGACATGTGCACACCGCAGCTGCGTGAGCGTCACTCGGATAACATGACCGCAATGAACCGAAGCGATATCGATGTGTACGACACCTTGTTCCGGGAGGGCTGCCCCAAGTTCGTCACCTCAACCCCGCCCGCGTACGATCAGGCCACCACCAACACCAACCAGTTGGTGAGCTAGCGATGACAAAGAAGCATAAAGGGATTGCCTGCTGCTCATCCTGGCATCACATTGACCGTTCTCGTCCACCTAGTGACTGCCTTCTGTTGTCAACCCCTGCTCGTCATTACCAGCTCAACCTGCCTTAACAATCTGCCCTAAGTTCCCAAACTGCCAGCGACTAATCGGCTCCATCCATCCTGTCGCTTGCTATCGGTGATCGTGTATTCGTCCACCCTTTGGCGTCCTTATACTACTCTGCCTGGATGACTGCACATCCATCCGTTGCCAATCTATGTCCCCTCGTTTTTCTTTTATAACCTCCCCTCGTTGCCGGACACTGGCCTGTACTCGTAGGCCTTCCGTGCTCAGCTGAACGCGTTCCTGTTGGAGGTTCGCGCCCAGCAGACTCTGCCACAGCTGAAGCAATACCTTCTTCTATACTCGTCCATTAACCTGGCCCGTCTGGCGGCTCTGATGGACTGCGACGAGGGGGCCCTGCGGCAGCAGCTGCTGTGCCTTAAAAACAAGCAGCGCCAGCTCAAGTGGGATGGCGGCAAGGATATGACAGCTGGTGCGCGGGATGCGGATGTGAAGGGTGTTCGGTAGGGGATAGGGTATTTGTTAACACAGACTTGGGCCCTCTGAACTTTCTTTGTGGATATCGTATTTTCACCTATCGTTTTGTGGCTAGGTCCTTAACATAATCTTTCCAGGCTCACATTCTCAGGCCGTGCCAATGAACCCCCAACGTCTCCGACCTTCAGGCACTTGGACGGTGGCCAGCGACCTGGAGTTCCACATCGACGTAGACCCCGAGACTGGGCTGGAAATGGTATTGGTGTCCGACACGCAGCAGGTGGCCACGTATGCGCCTTTCCTGGCACATCACATTGCGCGGTTTGAGCAGATCATCGCCGACCTAACTGTGCCCCGAGTTGCTGCGGCCCCTCCGACTGCTGTACGCGCATAAAGAATGAGGGCAGTGATCACAGCCGACGGCGTGGGTGCTACGGTTGTGGGTGGTGGAGTAGGGAGGGTTTTTTTAACGGCCGTCCAATATGTGGAAGTGGAGGGCGGGAGCGAACACTGGGTCGACGGACATTGCCTACGCAAAACATGGATCGACTTGATGGATACGGACTCGCTTGGGGGGATAAGACCGGCATTGCGGGGTTTAAGAGTTGTTTGGAGATGTTTAGACAGGAATGTGTACGGTCAGAGGAAGCTGGGATCAGGGCTACATCTGGTACTGAGCAGCTTGATGGATGCGGTGGATGCGGTATGGTGAAGAGCAGTCGAGCAAACGGCGGGAATGTTGAGCAGACCTGGAGTGGAGTTCTCTGCCCGGGTATCAGCCAGCTGGGGCCCCTGCATGTGTCATCCATATGGATTGCTGCTCACTTGAGGGGGTTTTGGTGCATCCGCGGATAGCGTAGGGGTTTTTGTGCCTGGCACCAGGCAGGAGCACCCCGCAGCAAATGCATCTTTAGCAGAGCATATTGAAGGCCAGTTGTATGGGGGAGGGACGAGGTAGTTGGGGAAAAAGGAGTCTTTCGGATTGTGTTCTCGGTGCTTTGGGTGACACATGAAACAGTGTGGTGCGGTAAGATAAATGTCGCTTCACCATCAAGAAATGCGATGCAGGCATTGCTTTTTCGGGGACTTCTGACACGAGTGGATGTTGCAGTGAAGGTTGTGATGGTCCTTTGTAGTGGGTGGGGTGTTCGGACAAAAGTCGGTTATGAGTTTCTCGGGATGCAGGGGAGTAGCGAAGCTTGCCATCCGGAGCTAGCACGGCCAAAATAGGGGAGCAGCGATGGGAAGTATGTCTGGTTGGGTGTCATTGCGCCTCTGTCCGATGAGAGCCTTCTGGCTTTTGGCACGTGATGAGGGCTCCTGAGGCTTTTCGCCATGGGAGAGAAGCGCAATTGTAGGTGCAGGTTTGCCACAGCGATGGCTTCGCTAAGGCGCAAGAGGCGCCAGTCCGGTGCGTGTGCACTAGGTGCGAAATGTTATCTGAATCTAGGAATGAAAGGGTTGCAGGCGATCCATGCGAATGCGTGTAACGTTATTACCAACGCTTGATGACGAATTGAGTTTGCATCTCTTTCCCGCAGGCTGGCAGGCAGCTTTTTTATGCAATGTAATGACAGTAAACGTCTATGAGGCGTTTACCGCAGCTGTTAAATTGCGCAAACATTTACGTAGATTCCAATAGCATAGCAACAGGAGATCAAAGAACGGCTTTAGTGATGACTTCCCATCGCACTTGAGGGGAACTTGTAACCTGTTTTTAACCGCATAAAGAGACGTTCCGATGTGTGGGGTGTCCTATGGATTACTTCCATCAGCAGCGTTAGCAGTCGAACATCATTTTATCTTTCCTCTCTGCGCTGAATGCATTCCTTACTACCTTCTAGGCCCTGGGCCCATGGGCCGCGAAGTACGGCAGGCCTCGCGGAAGCCAAAATGTCCCAGCGAAATTGAAAAGGTGCGCTTGCGCAATTCCTTGCGTTGCTCGACATTTGCATTTATGCCTTTCCATTCTGTCTTTTGCTGTTTTTTAAAAAAATATGCTTTAAAAGCAATCTTCTGCTATTGACATTCCCTAAGCCGCTCTTATGGATTTGACTAAAGTAATCTTGGATATATTTTGGGTTTGTTGAGGCATGGTCAAGACCCAGGAGCAAAGAGTGATTACTGCCATGGAGGCGCAGGCTGCAACCGCAACACTGCCAGGTAGCAAACATACCCCGACTGAGTAAAGACCCTGGTAACCTTCATTATGGTTTAGGTACTGCTCCTCAGCTTGGCACGCTGCAAATCATGGAAGCTCCTTCCGAACCTTTGCTGCATTCTTTTTGGCTGCACCGACCCAACCCTTTTTTGGCTCGTTCCCCCCCGTGGACAGGCCTGAAACATTTGCGTGACAGTGTTCAGAACTGGGACACGGCTGTCCTTACTCTGTCCGTCACGGCTGCAGCCATCGCCGACAGCGCCGGTGTGTTGGCGAAACGGGCTGGCTTGTGCTCCTGGCAGGCTGAAAACACAAATCCACCTGGTAAGTTAGCATAGGCTCCGTGACTCGGACTGCATCAGGCGCCTGTCAGTTGCAGCCTTAGCGCCAGTCCCCAGTGGCGTGCGGCAGCCTACCTTTGCGTTGTTCCTCTCTTACCTTTCTAAATGGATGGATGGGATGCTAAGCTGATAGTCGACCCGCAAACCCCCCTCCTCACGCGCGTCCCTCGTCCCCACAGGCGCAACAGCCAACGTGGCACTTACCCGGCCGCTGCTTTTCTCTCACCCTCTGCCGCCCCCGCCGCTCGTGGTACCAGCCGGCCAGCTCAAGCCCGGTCGCGTGTTCGTGGTGGCCAATTTGCAGGGCGCCTACTACACACTCTTGGAGCTGCTCTCACGCAACAAATTCGACTTCCGGTGTGATAATCTTCTGCATGTTGGAAACCTTGTGGCGCCCCCCTCGGTGGTCATGGCGAGATCGGGTTCCGTCTGCTGCTGCGGCAGCGGCAGTCAGCAGCCGCAGTCGAGCACCGAGTCGTGGCGTGTCCGCAACTCGGCGGCGGTGCTGAAACTGATACGGCGTCATGGCGGCTTGGGCCCTATGGGCGCCCATGAATGCCTGGTGCTGCTCACGGCGGCGCACTGCAACCGCCTGCGTGCACAGCAGCAGATGGAGGAAAAGCAACGGCTGGCAGCGGTGCTGGCCCGGAAACTTCAGCAGGATCCAGTGATGGTACCTCCAGCGGGATCCAAGACCGCTTTCCGGGCCACTTGCAGCGCGCTGTCACTGCAGCTGGCAGTGACGGCCTCTGCTTCATCGGCAGCTTGTCCTTCACAGCGCGCGAAATCGACATCGTGGCTTGCCGCAGGTAGTATGGGAAGCGACTGCTCTAGCAGCAATGATGAGGATGAGGCGGTGGAGATGGTGCCCGTGCCCATGACGCCTCAACGAGAGGAGTGTGCAGCAACACCACCACCATCGGTGTTGCTGGCGGAGCCCGGCGGTGGCGCCACTATTAGCAGTCCCTACCTGGACAATGCAGACTTAGCTCAGCTGCTGTCCTTGCCGGCTTGTGTTGTACTCGAGGCGTACCGTGTGCGGTTGCAGCATGTAGGCCTGCTGGATATAGATGACTGCATCACCACCACCACTGCCGGTTCTAGTGACGTGGCCCTCCGCTATCACACGCTGTTCAGTCACCGCCGGCCTGGGAGCGGCCCCGGTTGTTCTCAAACTGCTACGACTGTCACTGGCCTGACGTCGTGCCGGGATGTGGTTCGGTTTGCGGTGCTGCCACCACTTCGGACACTGCAGCTCCTGTCACCAGGTTTCAGAGCCAAGCTAGCAGCGGCCGCGGCCCCTAGCCGAGAGGAGCTTATGCTGGAAGTGCATGAAGAGCCCTTATCGGAGCTGGATATGCCATGAATGTCTCCTCCTATATGCAGGCAGCCAGGTAGCTATTAAATACACAATACGTCAGATTCCCATAGTCAGGTATGTTGCCGCTGGCTGGCTGGTTGGGCTCAAAAGGTGCTCTGATCCGGAAATCAGTGGATTGATTTATTAATTTCAGGATGGTGGCGCCAATGTATTTTTAGAGATTTGTGGTGTTGGCCGGGGGCCTCAAATGGCGCTTTCGCCAGAACTGACCAATAAGCTATGGGCCATTAAGGCGATTTTCATTATCAATGATGGGTAGGTCGGCTTTACCGAAGGAAGTGTGTGAACCCAAGGAGAGTCCTAGGGTTTGAAGTGGTGAAACAGCTCGTGAAAAGTACGATGCTGGTCGTTGCGGTTGAATTGTATTTTTACAGCTACGGTCTTTCCATCGCGTACCAGGCTCCCAGCCTGGCCCGTTAGCTATACCAGCCGCTTCTCATTCGGCGGGTCGTGGTGGGCGAGTTATCACAGCGGAGTTATCACACATGGGTCTGCTCGGGTCTGCTGGGCACGAATGGCGTGCTGTGTGTGCTGGCGACCTATTAGTCTAATGCGGGCTGGGGCCTACGAATCGTTGGGTGGACTTATGCATTTTGATATTGATTTACTGTGACACGAGTCTCAGTTGCTTATCGTCGGTTCTGACTTTTAATGGTTTTCATGGTCTTATGATTTTTTCGTGGCGACTGCAGGTGTATCGTTCTGGTTGTAAAATGCCCTAACCCATGCTGTATAGTATATTAACCGACCTAACGGCCTTAAGCGCACAAAGCGCACCTGCAGGCTTTGCGACTGCGGGGCGGTTGAAGACGAAATTCATGTCTTTGTGGAATGCCCGGCGTACACTAGTACACTGGCAAGGATGCTGGAACGTATATGGTCCCACCGCAACTCTATCGTTCCCTTTGGTCGTTAGTATCCTTCATCACTTGTTTCGTTTGAAGTGCGAGGTAGGATGGTGCTTATAGGCGATCTGGCGGCCCTTGAGCCCTCGGCTCGTATTAGGGTGGCTTGCAGGTACGGGGAACGCACCCACGACCATGTAACAACAAAACAACAACCACCACGGGAGCAAGAGCCACCAGCAGCCTTAGTCAACACAGCCCCCACCTTCCTGTTTACAGCAGGTAGGATGCAGACAGGTGGCAGGCAACGGGCAACCGGGGGCAAAGCTAGGCAGCAGAAGTGCCCTCAGACGAACCAGGATCCTACACCCTCTGAGGCCCCAAAGCGGAAGCGGCAGCGGCTGGAGCATCTAACTGCAGAAGAGCGGGCCGAGCGAAACAAAGCCCAGACCCGCAAGGCCTTGGAAGCCCGAAAGAGAAATGTGGAGGTACGGGGGGCACAGAGGGCAGCAGAGGAGGCCAGAGAGAAGTTAACTGCGCAGCTGCAAACTGGCAGCCAGGCCCAGCCCTCCGACGGCACACAGGTCCCAAGCCTGCAACTGCAACTGACAGCTGGAGACCCGTCCCCCAGTGAACCCCGCGCCCAGCGAGCAGCCGCCGTGCAATGCCAGCAGCACCTGAGCTCCCACAGCCCAGCATCAACACTGGGGGATGAGGAGGAGGATGAATACATCCCTACCGCCATGGAGGCGGAACGCTCCGACTAAATGCCAAGCAGGTGGACCAAGAGAAGTCAGCAGCAAAATGCTGTGCAGGGCCATCCACTCCGGATCACCACACACAACATGCATGGACTGCTGGTGACACATGGGAACCGCCTGCAGGCAGCAGTCCGGCAGTGGGCAGACTTGCGCCTGGACGTGGTATGCTTGCAGGAGACACATCACACCTACATCCAGCACCAGTGCCTTTTTGAGTAGGACTTGCGCTAAGCCGCAATGCGGGTGCATACCCAAGGCTGGCGGGTGGCGGCACACTCGTGGTCTGGCTCGACACACACAGCGGGGGTACTCATCCTCGTCCGGCAGGGCCTTGCAGCAGCCCTGGAGCCGCCACCGAGCACAACCCGTCAAGCATGTATGCAGGGCCGGTTCGCAGAGTGTGTGCTCCGTTGGGGAGGCCACCGCCTGCACATATGCAATGTCTACCTCCCCACGGGCTCCTCAACAGTGGCAGCAGACACACAACGCCTTTTGTTCAGCAATGTCCTGGCTGCCACTGCAACGAATGCCGCCGCCCCAGGCAGCGACACCACTCTCATCTGGGCTTGAGACTTCAACTTTGTAGAGAACCCAGAGCTGGATTCCTCAGCAGGCCCAGAAGGCTGACGGGGAGACGGACCGATAGCCGACATGAGGAGACAGGCGGGCCCCACCATGGTCGACACCCACCGCCACCTCCATCCCAAGCGCCGAGACTTCACCCACCAATACACCGCGCCCACCCCGGGGGCTCCCGTATCGACCGCATATACATCAACTAGCCCATGCTGACCTACGTCTGCCACACGTCCGTCACCTTCCACACACCGTCAGACCACAGGATTGCGACACTGCACCTACTGCCGTGCCGGAGTGAGGAGCGGGGCCCAGGTGCCCGCCGAGTCCGCCTTGCCTTCACAGCACACGAGGACTTTTCGTCCAGTATGGACACACGGATCCGCAGCCAATGCATGGAGGCACCATCTGCCGAAGACAATCCAGCTGGCCTGATCGCCTGGTGGCCAGGCTTCAAGCGCCGCCTTGCCACCCTGGCCCAGCGACTCAACAAGGCAGCACAACAACGCCGACGACGGCCTGGCACCCATGCCCGGGAAGCACTTGCTGCGGTCCAGCGGGCTCAGCAAGCAGTCGATGTGGCGCCAACAGCACCCCAGCCGCTGCAGCAGGTAGCGGAAACACAAGCAGCGCTGGCTAGGGCACACCAAGAGGGTGGCCGCATGGCGGCCAAGGAAGCATGGGCCCACTGGCTCAGGGCTGGTGAACGGACCGGCCCTGCCCTGACAGCATTCCTGAAAGCCCAGGCGGCCGAGCAGCAGCCTGCCCCAGGCGCACTCCAGGCGCACACCGGCCGCCTAGTGATCAACCCAGCACAACTGCCGCAGGTCGTGGCAGACTTCTGGGCCGAGATCAGCCGAGCTCCTGACTTCACCAGCCCCAGTGCCCGACAGGAGGTACTAGCCCAGCTGTCTGCGGCCAACATCAGCCTCCCTGCAAACGCAGATGAACAGCTTGGCTCCAAAACCATCACAGCAGCGGAGCTACGGGTCGCACTGGTCAAGAGCCAGCCCGGCAAGGCACCAGGATGGGACGGCATCCCAGCCGACCTATACCGCAAATTCTGGTCCACCATTGGCAACACCATGGCGGGCCTCTTTCATCGCCATGGTCGCAACGGGGCAGGTGCCGACCGGTTTCCTTGAGGGCATTATCACGGTGCTCTACATGAAGGGCGACCCCAAGCAACCCGGTAACTACCGCCCTATCATGCTACTATGCTCCAACTATCGCCTGCTCGCCAAGGTACTGGCAAACCGCCTGGGGCCGGCCCTGGGGTGCATCATCACCCCCGAGCAGTCAGCCTTCCTCCCCAAACGGCTCATTGGGGACAGTGTGATGTTCCTGCGCCACCTATCCCACCTCCTCCACAAGCAGAACCGCCGGGGTCTCCTGGCGTTCCTGGACTTTGCGAAGGCATATGACACGGTGGACCGAGGCTTCTTGCTAGCTGCAATGGAGGCGAGGGGGGCGGGCCCGCAGCTGTGCAGCTGGGTTCGGCTGCTGCTCAGCAACACGCAGGCACGAGCCATGGTCAATGGCTTCAAATCAAGACTGGTTGGGATGGAGGCAGGCGTGCGACATGTGTGCCCCCTCACGCCTCTGCTGTACCTCTTCATCGCCCAGGCCCTGCTCTGCTGGCTCCGGAGCCGAGATGTGGGGATCAAACTACGGCCGAATGACCAGGACCGCATCACAGCCTGCCAGTTCGCGGACGACACTGAAGTGGCGCTGGAGGGCGAGGAGTACCGTCGTTCCTGGAAGCCATGGAGACCTTCGCCCGGGCATAAGGCCAGCGCCTCAATGTGGAAAAGGTAGAGCTGTTGAGGGTGGGTGCTGAGAACCAGCAACAACAGCAGCAGCCACAACCGGCGGGTAGGCAGCAGCGGCAGCAGCCACTACATCAACAGCCGCAGCAGGAGACAATTGGTGGCCTCAAAGTGGTCACCACCACCACAGCCCTGAACTTGCCGGTAGACAACCGGCCCACACCCCCACAGCCCGAATGGCCCAAGATGCTGGCAGGCGCCTACAAGCGGATGCAGCGGCTCGCCCGCTTCCCACTGTCAGCCTTTGGCAGGGCCATCGCCACGTCCGCCTACGGCCTGCAGACGGTCACCTGGCACATGGAACATGGCGGTCCACCTCCGGACAACACACTGGACCACACCTAGCGACTGACGGCCCGCCTGGTCGACCGGCAACAGGGCCCAGAAGACCCAGGCCAGCGCCTCACAGGTGTACCCAACAGCCTTCTAGTAGGCCATCCGTCAGCGGGGGGTTTTGGCCTGCTTCAACTCCGACAGCACATCCATGCACGCCACGCAGTCTGGGCCGTGCGATTCATTGCACAAGCACTGCCGGCGGCAGGGCGTGAAGGTAGGGGTGCGGGAGGGGAAGTAACTGGGGGAGCAGGCGGGGACGAGGAGGTGGCAGCGGCAGCCAACAGTGAGGCCCGGGGCCTACACCCCTGGGTACGCACGCTGTCCGCCTACCTGGAGCTCACCCACCCCGCACTCCAGCCTTGGGCTCTGACAACCGCCCGGGCCACGGGACCATGGCTTGGCAGCAGCAACCTTCCCGCAGACATCAGCCGGATTGCGGGGGGCACTGGGTCACTTGGCGCCTTTGGAGGACATTGGCAGAACCGCACTGGAACCCGGTGATTGGTGCTGGGCGGCGGCGCTATGGGGCAACCCACTGTTGCCCACTGCGACCAATGCTGCAAACACCGAGGGCCCCAGCCGTCGACCAGGCCTGGAAGCATACCACGCGGCACGGACACCATGCAGGAAACTATGCA